AATATCGAAATTCAAATTAACGTTGACGGTATTCGGGCCTATAACAACTCGCGTACTCAGGTGTGGCCTATACTCTCCCGGATAATTTCACCCTTTCTCGGTCATCCTTTCGTCGTGGAAATATACTGTAGTAAGCAAAAACCCAATGATGCTCATCAGCTGATGTCTGACACGGTCGCTGAGTTGACAGACGTCTTGGCGAACGGTTTCTCCGGGGTTTGGAATACTCATACCGTCCGTCTTCAGTGCATTATTTGTGATAGTCCTGCTAGGGCCTTTCTGAAGCAAGTGAAGGGACATACAGGATATTATGGCTGTGATTATTGTACACAAAAGGGTGCGCACATTGGCACACGTATGACTTTTCCCTCGTTGACAGCTCCCTTGCGTCGTGACTATGATTTCCGGACCAGAAAGCAAGAGAAGCACCATATAGGTCCAAGTCCGATGGATGAGTTAAATTTTCCCATGATTGACGGTTTCTCACCAGATTACATGCATAGAGTGTCTTAGTTTAGTGCGGAAATTTCTAATCCTACTCAGAGCTATGCCAATTGGACACAAGGCCAGGCTTTCTTTGGAGTCCTGGAATCTGCTGAATGATAACATTAAGCAACAGAGTTTGGCTCTGAGTGTTGATTTCCCCCGAAAATGTAGAGGTGCCGTAGACCTGGATCGGTGGAAGGCATCTGAGCTACGACAGTTTCTTCTGTACATAGGACCCGTTGTTTTACGAGACATCTTACATCCTGACGTTTACGAATGTTTCATGTATTTTTCGGTAACCACTTTCATAGGCTGTTCACCTTTTTTTCACAACATTATGCTAATTTTTTAATTGATGTTTCCAAGGTTGCTGTGTGCAAATTTACTGCTATTTTTGGTCCCAGCCATTTAGTGTACAACATACACCTCTTCTTCCATTTGTTCAATTTCGTCAAGCTTTATGGTTGCTTGGATCGTTTTTCCTGTTTTCCCTATGAATCGGAGCTGGGTCATTTGAAGCATTACATGCGTGGTCCAAAACCATCGGCTGTTCAGCTTTACTGCCGACTGTCCAAGCATGTGGGATTGGATGTTGTCGAAAGGAAGGTAATTTTATGATGTTGAAAACCATCGGCTGTTCAGCTTTACTGCCGACTGTCCAAGCATGTGGGATTGGATGTTGTCGAAAGGAAGGTAATTTTGATGATGTTGGTTTGCGACTGAGGCCATCTGCCACTGCCGGATGTCGCAGGTTTATTCATAGGGATGTCGTTTTTTCGAAAACTTTCCCGACAACTGCATTTTGCTTGATGGTCAGCCAGCTGTCATTGTAGATTTTTCTAAAGATACTATGGTGTACCAGAAATTCAAAACTGTTCTCCCGTTTTACACTCACGTATTGATTTCGACGGACATTTTAGTTTTTCAATGCTCCGACTTGCAACACACTCGGCTGTTTGCATCAGTCGACCACCTTGTGTATTCCAGCAAAATGACAATGCGGTCTTAGAGTCAGCGTCAAGTGCCTCAAAACGATGGAAGACGCATGCGTCGTCATTCAGTAGACACCGTTTAGGAAACGGACGTCGCCCACTGGGATTGTCTTTCAGTTACAAAGTTACGACGAGGGGTTCTCATTTTAAGGCTGAGCCACTCAGGGTACGGAGCACCTTTCGAATGTTCCTGTGTGTCTGAATTGGGCATTATCGTATTCATGTCACCATAGGCATTCCCCAGACTGGTTTAAGTCACATTGAAATATCATACGAGATAGTCCGTGCACAAACTGAAAGCGATGTACAACTATTATCCATGAGTTAAGAGGCAAATCGAGGTTCGGTTAGACTCATCACCCGCGGGTCTTGTCGAAATCTATGATAAAAATATAACCTACCATACGGCAGCGTCCCAGCGAGCTACGCAGTGTATATATGTGGGCTGTTTGCAGCAAATACTCTGAGCAAAATGCATATAGGGGATATAATCCGTACGTACTCTCTGATAGCTTTACAAATGTGTAAACAGCGAAACATAACGTCACAGCCAAACACGAATCTGTCCACCCGCAGTTATGCTGCCAAATGGTGCATAACTAAACACTCCACTTGATACTGTTCTCCCGCCATTCCCCTAAACAAAGCAAACAGTTTGCGTATAGAGGCGAACGGTTCGCTTTCCACAAATGACTACATAACCGGACGCTCAGAGTCCATGCCACCTGTGATCATAAAGGTGTATTGCTAGCATCGGCTGGCAGAATATTGGTTGATTTAAAAATATCCACACCAAACGGGTTTGTTGCTTGCGTTTTATGTACATCTACTAAATCCGGCAAGTACCAAAACGGCTCTATTTACTACAATCTGCGGAAACATGTATCGCTGTACTGATCTTACTCTGAATGAAGCACGAGCATACGTCCTGACTCTATGCTTTGCTAGAACCGAAGATCTTCAGTCTGCCGCCATAGATCCAACCCCTCTCACTTACTCCACGGAAAAGTTTCGCACTTCCAGCTGTAGTACATCTTGAGTGGTAAGGATCCGTATGAATTCACGAGGGGCTTATATATTTTGTTAACGCCACTCATTTGTAAACTCCTCTTTGATTAGTTGTCGGTTTACCGAGAACCGATGTTTAAAAAATCGGTCAATTTATGATTGTGGTGAGATTAGCAATAGGCTACCAAAGACAGTTCGCCTGTCTCCTTAGACGGAAACGGAACAGATATATTGCGCTCCATCTACTGGCTGATTTTTTTGATCCTTCGAATTGCTGTTGGTTTTTCGGGCCGCTTGCTGCAATTGCAGTGCACCCACTGGTAAGGTGAAACAGTGCTGGCGCTCCGATGACCCTCTATATGCGCAAATATCACAGTCATCCATCGTGTATTCTTTCCCATCATCCACGAATGAAGGCCCGATAGCCCCTAGTTCTTCAACAAACATATACAAGGCCACATTCAAAGTTTAATATCAAATGCTTGCTAATAAGTGAAACTGGAGATTAACTAAAACATACTGAAACAGAATGGAGCTGGACTGTATGGATTTTTCGTTTGAGCATACAAACAACAAAGTTCAATAATGTTACTGAAAATTTTCATTCCACCGGAAAATGTTTTGGTCAAGAAATCATTATCAGGCTATGGATCCCCTTGCCTAAACCTCGTCCTAGTAACACTGAAAGTAGGGCTGCACAATGTTCTTTCCAACATGACAGAGTTGTGTTTGAGATTCAATAGGTGCTGGCACTTTTGAGTGGTAGATTTTGGCGTTACTTCGGGAGATTGTTCAATCTTTTTCATTAACTTTGCCCACATATCTCTCTTTGAATCCGGTCGGAAGCCACATATGAAAATAAGACTAACTGGCTCCCCCATCACAGCTTTTTGGGCAATAAGCGCACTATTCAGTTATCGTATACGTGCCTCAGTTTGACTTTCAAAACATCGTCTAAACATCGACTAGAAGATAAGACGGGTATCAGGGACGTAATGCAACTTTGTGACGGTAATACTGTTGGCGATCAAGCCGGCCAAACTTGCATGCGTAGTGGGAGTTCGAAGTGGGTTATCGAAGTTTTAGTTCCTGCGTCAACATTAACATGAAACTTAATCGCGCCGCTTGAAACAAATCTTATTGCTACAGTAAAAATACCCGTTCCGCTTCGGCCATTGGCGTCATGGTTTCGTGAACTCGGGAGTTGCCAGTCTGTTATATCCACTGTTGTCCCTGCCCCAATGTCTAAGTGCCGGAAAAGACTCGCAAAGAACAAAGCAGCCTTATTGCAAGTGAGCGCAGCAGTTACAAGAGACCACACTCTAGCTGGTAAACATTTTCTGATCCATTGTTTTAGATACTTGGTTTATCGGTTGACTATCGTCGATCGTCGTCATTTTTTCCACTGAGAGTTTAGTTAATTTAGGGGCCTCAGTAGGTTTCGGACGTTCTATGTTTATTTTAGGGAAGTTGACGGACGGTCAAGCCAGCACACGATGTATTCAGTGGGGCATAATACTTTATCCTCATGGTTAAACGGACTCCTTGATAGTTCGTGGGAGGAGTCAGTGGAATTCTGTGAATCACGAGCAGACACTAATATAGCACCGCCACTGCTTTGAGTTTAGGCACAAAGTCAGCAAACTGAAAAAGATTGCCTTCAGCGATCTGTTGGAAGACCTTGTGTTTCGCGCAAAAGCCCAGAAGCCCCACCTTTTAAACGGAGGTTTATCTGGAAACGCGGTGCTGTAAATTTAATAATAAAATAATAATACCTTACAAACCTCAAATTGCGGAACCGCGCTGGCTTCTTACACGGTTTATGAATCTATGTTTATTTTAGGGAAGTTGACGGACGGTCAAGCCAGCACACGATGTATTCAGTGGGGCATAATACTTTATCCTCATGGTTAAACGGACTCCTTGATAGTTCGTGGGAGGAGTCAGTGGAATTCTGTGAATCACGAGCAGACACTAATATAGCACCGCCACTGCTTTGAGTTTAGGCACAAAGTCAGCAAACTGAAAAAGATTGCCTTCAGCGATCTGTTGGAAGACCTTGTGTTTCGCGCAAAAGCCCAGAAGCCCCACCTTTTAAACGGAGGTTTATCTGGAAACGCGGTGCTGTAAATTTAATAATAAAATAATAATACCTTACAAACCTCAAATTGCGGAACCGCGCTGGCTTCTTACACCGGTTTATGAACTGCCGGTTCCCAACGGATCTCAAATTCTACACCGCTTCAAAGCCAGGTGTTTACGAGGTAGCGAAACCATGTGAGAACTTAAACAACACGCCCGACGACAGGGTCAATGGACGGTTTATGTTCAGGTCGAAAACCAGAAAGGTGTTTTAGGCGCAAAACCGAATAACTAAAAGAGGGATTCGCGTTGTACAACATAAAAATATAAGAAAGGCATCTACACCACACCCGAAGCCAGCATGGCTTTCCCCAATTTACCAACTCAATTTGCTGCTTTCAAGAAAGATATCACCAAAAATGGTACAATTGCTCTAGCCACAAACGCTCTCCTCAATCCGCAGCATGCGCCTAGGTTGTGTGTCTTCTCCTTCAAGCAGGTCCGCCCGCCTAACCATATCCGAGATAGTCGTTGATAATATTACTAATATTTCCCGAATATGTTCACTTCCGGGCTTGGCCCCCACTATGAAGCATTTTTCCCAATTTCCGCTAAATAATAAGAAGTCACCTACTTAAAGATCTCAACTGTTGTACATCCACCAATTTCGTAAGTGTAATAGCGGAATGTACTCCTTCAGTCATCGACGCCTAAAAGTGTCCACCAACACTTGTCCTTGTCTCCAACATCGGGTATATATGACGCGTATATTGACCATATCACCTGACAGCTCAGTCTGCCCCCGCAACAATAACATTCGGAGACTTGGGCAAAAGCCTCGAACTGTGTATCGATCCGTGAATCCGTGAATCGTAGACAGGTACAAGTGAACGGCTTTTAGAAATACGCTCCACATCATTTAAGAAAGCAAATAAATATTCGTAGGTCAACACCTGTTCGCAGGAGACCGCACTCAGTACTCGATAGATAGATCGTATCTGACGCCCCCGTACTTCTCCGCGGTGACTCCCATACAGCGGACAGAAGCGCCACACAATATCATGGGCTACCATCCTCATATTGACGGAATCGCAGCTAGCAAATTAAGAAATGGCTGAAGTTCTAGTATGGCCTCAACGAAGTTACTTCCTCGGTCACTGAGCATTTCCTTTAGTGAATCACGGTGGTTATTAAAGCGAGAAAGTGACATAAGAAAACAGTCTATCGATAAAGAATGAGCTACCCAGATGCGAAGTGCACACGTCTCCAAGCTGTCGTCCGTCGCGTACAAAATGGACCAAAATAGTGGCGGCAAAAGCTTAATTGGGTTCGACTCTGCTTGGTGGTTACGATGCCATCAGCTGCTCCGCTGGCTTCATCGACCCTGCCTCACATGACAAACACCTACGCACAAGCCTTTTTACTGCGGCTGCCCCCTTGAAAACCCAAACGTTTTGACGCATGACACCTGGAACTTGCGGAGTGCCCGTATGTCGGTCCAACTCATGACAGTTTCTAATCAAGCAATGTGTCGCGAGATGTCGACTCGAAAGTATGATGGGGCGCTAACGGGATTGGGGCAAACCACTATTCTTCAGCCTCCCTGCGACACATATTAGTACTTCGAGGAGTATTGCGGGGGAGTCTAAGCCACGAGTTGGGCGAGTCCATTTTCAGGGTCTCACCAGGAAGTGGCTTTACGACGAGAAAATTATATAAAGGTTGAAAAACTTGGTGTTGCACGTATTGCGATTTGAATATCCTGCTGCCCTCAGTTCACCAAGCCGCAGACGAGTAAGTGAGAGCACATACTTTTCTTCTTTATTTGACTTTACACGAAAATATAACCTGAGTCGTTCCATCTGTTCTATGGTTCGTTTTAGATTGGTCCACGGAGAATAGTAAGAGAGAAGTTTTTCAGATGCCA